GTAATACTACTTTTTTGTTATTTTAATTTTAAAATTATTTAGTTATTTATTAGATACTCCAAGGGAATAGATATAATTTATAAAGAGTGATACAACTAGACTTAAAAAGTTTAGGTCAAAAAGTTTTTGTTTTTTGGTCATTTGAATTTTTTTTTTTTTTAAATGTGCTGATATTATAAGTATTGTAGTCAAATCAGTCCGTTAAATTTTTATTTTTTTTTTAAGGATTAGATCTCACTAAAGGTGAAATTAAATTTTTTTAAAATGCCATATAATCCAAGTTTTGCCTCCTCCGATGCAGCAACCATCTAATTAGGCATACTTATTGACTTCCATATGCAAATGATAAAAAGTATATCCAATCTCCTCTTGAAATCTCTATATTGTTTTAAGTGGATATGTAGAACTACCGGAGAATCTTTGTCGTGTTGTATTCTTAAAATGGAAACGATTATATATTAATGAAAATGCTATGTGTATTTTCATTTTTTACTTTCATTCACAAAATCTTGATGTAGACACTTGTATTGAAATTCACATGACAAAAAAAATAGTTTATCAAAGTCCGTCACATTGGGGAGTAAAATTTGGGAGTACATGTAGTAGAACTCATATATTAATGATTTTGTCGGGGCGGGTCTACCATAAATCGGGTATTAAAAAAAAGTATGGCAAATTATTGTGTGAACCATGGTACACACAGTGTTGTGTGAGTCATAACAAAAAATACATTTTTAATATACTAAAAGTGAATTATTCTTGTACTGAATGTACATTATAAAAAATAATGTACTTCCAATACTCAAATAATGTACATTCTTTGAATACAATGTACACTTTTAATATATTAAAAGTACATTATTTGTGTAATAAATATACATTATTTGATAGTATGGTCCACACAGCTGTGCGAAACATGATCTACACAATAATGATTGTTAAAGTATAGAACAAGGTAAGAAAGTAGTAGTATTATTGCATGGTGTGTAGCCCGAGATACTGGCCCAAAACGGCGGTCCAAAGAATACATAAATAATAAATAGGTCAAAGTACTTATGAGGTCCATGTACTATAGTGTTTTGTTCAATTTAGTCCTTGTACTTTTATTTTGTTCAATGTAGCCCCTGTACTTTAAAAAGTTGTGCAATTAAGGACAATAGTTAACGGTGTTAATACTACCGTTAACTTAGCTTATATGACACTGAGATCATTACTACCACATCATGATATTTATATTCCAACTCATATATTATTTTATAAATGTTTAAAATTAATTATTTTTACCACCAATATATTATATTAATATGTCAAAAATAATAATTACATGCATGATGACATCAAGCGTTCAAATCTCATTGGGAGTATGGTTGTAATTATTTATTTTGGACATATTAATGTAATATATTGGTGGTAAAATAATTAATTTTACATATTTATAATGTAATATATGAGTTGGAATATGAATATAATGATGCGACATTGATGATGCCAGCTAAGTTAACTGTAATATTAATAATGTTAAGTATTGTCCTTATTGCTTAGCCCTTGTGATGGTTGTAAGTCAAGCACACTTAACCACAGAGTTATTTGGCTATCTAGTTGTAATATCCTACTTAAAATCAATTGGTGATAAGTAGGTGCACATTAATAATTTAACTACATCACTCCATGGTAAGTCACAACACCACGTCTCGAATCGAGTAGGAGCTGAACTCGGCCAACCTGTCCGACGCCCAACAAAAGTACAAGGGCTAAATTGAACAAAATACTATAGTACAAGGATCTCATAGGTATTTTGACCTAATAGTTACTATGGCCCTAATAATGGACTAGAAATAATAATGCTCCTGCTAAAAATTGAACCCTGATATATGGGTTAAAGGTTAGGAATACAACCCATTAGACTACGGAGGCTTTAGTGAACTAAGGGATGAATTTTAAAGGGAGGAAAGGGTGTCTATTTATAGTGGTAATTTATATCGTGCACCAGGGTGCGTATTGCATTGTGCGCCCTGGTGCAAAACGACGTCGTTTTGGAAATTTTTTTTTGGGAATTCTGCTTTCCTATGTTGATTGTTATTTTTTTTTTTTTTTAAAATCTCATGTTTCAAAAAATGTACATAATTGTATACTAAAATGCACATAATTGTATACTGAAATGCACATAATTGTATAAGAACATACACATACTTTTTTTGAAAAGATAATACACATAATCTAACATAATACATAATAACATAAACTTTTAACATAATACACATAAACTCTTAACATAATACACATAAATTCCTTGTTTCGGATGTACATAATTGTATAAAAAAAATGTACATAATTGTATAAAAAATTGTACATAATTTTATAAACAAATGTACATAATTGTATACCATAATGTACATAATCGCGTCAACTTCCTACACAACTTAACAAAACGACGTCATTTTGGGAGGCACGGGGCGCACAGTGCTGTGTGCGCCATGGTGCAGGGTATAACGATTGATTTATAGTATGGTGGGCCTTGCGGATGATTGACAAATGTACCGCATCGGTTAGTCTTCAATCTTGGCTATACATGTGTCCTCTCAACTACCTGGATGTTAACGATCTTCACACGAGTAAATAGAGCATCCTTCCTTTTAATACACAAGATGTGTGGTATCTTGGTGATTAAGAACTTGTGTTGTTATACTTGAGGTTGTAGGTTTGAACACTTTAGCAACACTTCTATTGTTCATTATATATAATCTACCTTATTGTGTGTGTGATGCTCTTATGAACACATGAGAACAAATCTATCATGGCTATTCTATTCAAGGTGCGTGACTATTGTATATAAAGTGCGTGAGTATTGTATATAAGGTGCGTGAGTCTTGTGCGTAACGTGCGTGAGTTTTGTGCTTAACGTGCGTGGGTTTGTGCTTAATGTTAGTAGTTGTTAAAACTTAAAGTGCGTGAGATTTGTTTTTAAGGTGCGTGAAATTTGTTCTTAAAGTGCGTGGGGTTTGTTCTTAATGTGCGTGAGTTTGTGCTTAAGGTGCGTGAGGTTTGTGCTTAATGTGAGTAGTTGGTAAAACTTAAAGTGCGTGGGTTTTGTGCTTAAGGTGCGTGAGATTTGTGCTTAAGGTGCCTGTGTTATGTACTTAATGTGCGCGAGTTTGTGCTTAATGTAAGACATTTAAAAATCGTAAGTGCGTGAATTTTGTGCTTAATGTGCTTTGTTCTGTGCTTAAGGTTCGTGATTTTTGTACTTAAGGTGAGTGATTTGTGTTCTTAAGGTGCTTTGTTTGTGGGCTTAAGGTGCGTGGTGATTTGTGTACTTAAGGTGTGCCATGTTAATGCTTAAGGTGCGTCCAACCGCACAACCGCACGGGAAACATCAACCGCACCTAAACCCTATATATATATATATATATATATATATATATATATATATATATATATATATATATATATATATATATATATATATATATATATATATATATATATATATATATATATATATATATATATATATATATATATGTTAAAGTTCCAGTGCAGGTGAATGCTTCCCGTGCGGTTGTGCGGGTGATTAATGTGCGCAAGTTTTGTACTTAATATGCGCGAGTCTTGTGCTTAATGTGCATGAGTTTTGGACTTAATGTGCGTGAGTCTTGTGCGTAATGTGTGTGAGTTTTGTGCTTAATGTGCGTGAGTGTGTACTTAATGTGAGTTGTTGTTAAAACTTTAAAGTGCATGAGTTTTATGCTTAATGTGTGTGAGTTTTGTGCTTAATGTGAGTTGTTTTTAAAACTTAATGTGCGTGTGTTTTATACTTTAAGTGCGTCAGATTAATGCTTAACGTGTGTCCACCCGCACAACCGCACGAGAAGCCTCAAATGCACATGATCCCTTCCTTATATATGTGTGTGTGTGTAACACATGAATAATTAAAAATTAATCAAAAGTTTTATCAGAGTTCAGGGTTAATAGTGGTAACACATGAATGATTAAAAATTAATCAAAAGTTTTATCAGGGTTCAGGGTTAATAGTTCATTCAGGAAAGACTTGTTGAATTAGCAAATGATAGGGCACCACATGATACATGTTTTTGTTAGACTTTTGCTGTCAACCTAGTAAAGTTATTTTAAAATAATTTTATTTCTAACATTGTCATAAAATTAAGGGAGTTAAAGTTTTCATTTTTCAAACAACAATGTTATGTGGACCCAAAGTGCTTTTTTTTTTTTTACCAAAACTTGTTGTACGGTTTGGCCAATTCATCAATGATGAGATATAGAGCAGCATTATGATAGGCTGCATCAGTAAACAAAATATTTTATAATAATAATTAGTCTAAATACGGAGTAGCATTTTTCCTTTTCATATACAAAATCATACAAATTTCCGTAGTATTTCATTATTAGTTATACCAGGCTAGAATATATAACTAATGGTTTGCAATTTTGGAAATTAAATGCTATTGCAAAAAAAAAAAAAAAAAAAATTATCGATGAACCATGAAAAAATTTATTCTTCAATTCTCAGGGGTGAAATCATGACTATCCCCTCAAAATAAATATCAAAACATATTGAATGCCTATGAATTATGATAATTTTCTTTAAGTAGTTTGTATGGCTAAAACTTGTAATTACTTTTTTTTAGTCACCATTTACATAAATTCTCTACTTTATGTACTTCAATTTTCTATTTCTCTAATTTTTCATTTCTCCAATCTCTTTTCTGTTTTCCAAAGTCCAAATGTATTTGTTGTTTTCATTTCTTCAATGAATAATTTCTTTTCTATTTTCCAAAATCCAAATGTATAATTAAAAAATGTATTTGTTTTCATTTCTTCAATGAATAATTTCTTCGGTTAATAAACTTGCGTCTACATTTTGTGATTTTTGAAAGTGAAGCAAAGCATTAGTTTTCAAAGTCAAGATCAACCAAGAACACCTCATAATGAGATGTGATATGACCCCAATTCAAACTCGAGTCTACTAACTTAAAATATGGTTTAACACAAGAATACTTGATTGAAGATGGAAAACCCAAAAGATTGATTTACATTCCTATGTATTTTCTTGAGTCAAATGTTATGTTAGATATAACATAATCCCACATTGAACAAAATCTCCAAACATTTGGAACAATGCAAGGCTGTAGGTACTGTCTGCAACTCAAGCAGTCTCATGCAATCCAATGTTAAGATCAGACGAGATAGATATCAGGAGAGGTAAAGTGGGGTGCCAAACAGCTTTGAAGACGCGTTTCTGATGCGCTTTTATGGACTGGGAAGGTTTGTGGGAGTTGTACCTTATATCGAATATGTGAATCACGGGGTCAACTGAACCCGATGAAATGTAGAGGCCATTCGGTGACCAGGCTTGATGTATAAGCGCAGATTGTGATTCGCTGCTTTCTTGCTTCCATCCGAGCGAATGAACTTCCTTTTGCCTGTCTCTGATATCAAACAATCGAAGTTGCTTCTCTAAAGTCCTGCGAGCAAGAAAACCAAAAAACAACAGGATTTATGTGTGGCAATAATAATGTAAAAGTAGAACAAGGATACTGTACTCTAATGGCTTGTCTTACCCGGTCTGAACCATGAATAGATTGAGGTCACAGGGGTTGGGTAGAACACTCATGCACTTGCTTTCTATTTGATGCTTGTACTCCACTTTCTCCTCTACAAGATCGAATCCAATGATTCTCTTGTCAGCACCAGCGGACATAACAATTTTCTTCTGTTGCATACCAGCAACTCCCATTACAGCAGAAGAATGCAGGCTTTTATGTAACACATTAGGTTTCCATGAATTCTTTCGCTCTTTTTCAGACCAAAAAACGACAGCATGATCACTACCACCCGTAACAAAACAGTTATCCTCCCATGGCATGAACATTATGTTGTTGATGATGCCTTTAACATGCGGCTTCTCTTCCAAGAAACTTACCTGCAAGTTCTCTTATGCATCAATATATGAAGTCACAGTTGATTGTGTGTTTGGTTCATGGGTTTACACACTAGGAGTGGGAATCAAAATCATAGTTAGTGTTTGGTTGACAACTTTTTAAAACACAACTACCCCTTCAATAGAAAACCCATACCCTAATTAGAAAAAGGTATCATTCCATCTTATTGGTAATATGATTTTTAAGTTTGAATTAGTGCTTTTAGATTTTTGTTTTGATTTTTGTTGTTGTTCATATCAGTGCTTTGGATGTCATTATATTAGGATCAATTGCATTGATTTTTTATTTTTGTATTTTTAAAACCTTTATTCTCATTATAGGGTCATACATAACCAAACATCAATATTGATAATCATTCCAATTCCACCCTACTACCAAATATGCAAAATACTACCAAAATTCATATCATTACCAAGTATTTGATTCCCATTCCGATTCCGATTTCCATGTGCGAACCAAACACACCCTGATATTACTATTTTTATTTGACAACTGTAAGTCTGGTGCACATATGAAATGCTACAAAAATTGTTAAGTATAGAGTGTATCAGTTATAGATAATCTGCTGTGACAAAAAGTAAACTAAATCAAATTCAAAATCGAAATAAGATAAACACAGTAATTTCAGGTATCATCGACTTATCATGTTGCATGAATAGAACTATAGAAGTAGACAAGCAGACATATTAAGATCATGATTTAGCCAACTTAAAGTATTTGTTTGATCATCAAAATCAACAGAATGAAAAAGCGAGAGGACTACTTTTTCATCTTTAACCAGAGAATGAAATGAATCTTGCATAGAGAATGTTCAATGGTGTTCTCCATTATAAATTTTACTCACGGGATTCTCTGTGCTGGCTTATCTATACTCACCATAGCATGCATATAAAGTGTACATGCAAGTAGACAAGGTTACATGTAATTCAAAGAAGATATTACTTAGCACACTCAAAATCCATGCATTTTATGTCATAATTTTACAATTTACCATAAAATAATATTGTAATCAATCAATACCTCCTTCCGTTTGTTAAGATTCAAGATTGAAATCTGAGATTCTTCACCATCAGCACTGTAAACTGAAAAAAGGGAATTCCCCTCAGGATGCCAGGCAATATCTTCCGGCCATCTCCTTTGCTTGACCGACAGGCAATTAGTAGTACTAAGAAGGGTCGCACTTGATCTGCAGTCTCATCAAACAAGTAAGTCAGTTCATAACTTATATGGAGAGAACAAGGTATTTAAATGTGACAAGAAGTTAAGATTACTTTTCTAAGAATAAGGATACTGTTCTTAATAAAATAAAAAAGATAAAGAATGATATTGGTATTGCTAGGAAGATTGACCAGTAAATAAGTTTGGTATACCCTCTATTCTGAAGCTGCCACAAGTTGACTGCTCCGTCCAGTGCGCTGCAGTTGTAAGTAATGTTGCAAATGAGTAACCCCAAAGGTAACTAGTATAAGACCCATTTGTTATATCCATCACAAATTTCACATTATGAACAAAACCAGGGAACATTTCCAACAAAAGAAACACAACTGTTGCATGAGACGAATGTAAAAGTGTGGTAGAAAGAATTTTTATGTCATCCAATATCATCGGGGCACTATTCCTTTCCAGGAGTCTCAATATGCTTCGCAAGTAGCCAAGAGTAGAAACTGCAGTAAAGCTTAAGGAAACTTGAGCATACTTGTTGCCTCTAGTCAGTAGACCTAAATCATGTGTCACCATAGTAGATTTGTGATACACAGAATGAAGTGCTTTCATAAAGGTTGGAATGTTGGACACAATGTGCAAGACTCCCGCATCATTGATCATAGGCAGTTTGTGAACGAAGATGTAACTTTACCTCTGATTCTTTTGTTTTTAGGGCTTGAACCCATAACCTAAATGTTAGCAGGTGAGCAACTGCCACTACACCAAGCCCAGCCTTCTATGAAGCTCTAGTTCGGTAAATTAAAAAAATTTTGTTTATAAAAAAATCCATAAGCTCTGGGTAAGGATGCAGATGATATCAGTAAACATGTATACATATCATGTGATAGTGCTCATCAGGAAGAACATCTTCTATCCAGCATGCTTAAACAGGAACTTAAACTCTTAAAACAAACAAACAACAAAACACAACAACAACCACCTTTACTCTCTAACATCTAGTGCTGGATGTTGAGAGCATCCACAGAAAATCAGAACTGATGGTCAAGTAAGACTCTCAAGCAAGCCCTAACTACCTGGTGGCAAAGTGTTGCTCATTAGTTGGAGACAAGACAAGACTTCTCAGCTTTCTCTTATGTTGACTAGTTACAATAGCACAAGTCTGGCAGTCGATCATGCACGGTGAAGAGTGGCAACTAATCATCGGGATTAAATCTTTCTGCCTTTTTTTATCTGTATTAAGATTTAAGAAAGTATAGTAATAAACATCCCAATGCAGTAAATTAAGCAAATATGCAAACCATTAAATTTTATGCTACATCATAATTAAGATCCAACACGCACATGAAGATTGCAGGACTACAAATGATAATATTACCAGAAATTCTCTTTGCTCCTTTATCTTGAGCATCAACAACTTCCTTTTCACAAGGTTCTCTCTGAGTTTTGTCACCTTTATGCTTGATCATACTATTACTAAAACAGAAACCTGAATCACCAGCAGAACTAGGACTACTTGAATTTTTAGTTACAGGTTCATAATCTTCTTGTTTAATATCAAGAATTTCAGGTTGCGGTTTACTTTGAGGCTGGTTTCTAGAAGAAGATTCACTCTTCCAGAAAGTAATTGGGAATTTACGCTCTGGTGTTGGAGATCTTCGGACTGGTATACTTGTATTCAAGTTGAATTGTGATCTAAATTCTGACTGGGTTAGTGATGTCTTAACACTCTTCTGGCACCGGAGGCGAGCCAATTTCCGTTGTGAATCATCTAACCTCTTCTCTGCTTCTTCAAGCTGCATAATCCATTGAATAGGAAAAAAAGAAACTTTTACTTTTGATCTCAATAAAGCATAAAAATAACTTTTAAATGAATAAACCAAGGTTCCAACTTCCAAGCCATGCAAATGCTAAAAAGTAACTCATCAACTTTCCACATTGGTTTACATCAACCACAATGCCTATAACATTCCACAACTTATAATTTGAAAAGAGCAAAAAGGTATCTACCTTTCCTATTGATATTATATTTGCATTGGCACGGTCAAGATTTTTCACATTGGTTCTTCTATTACTAAAGCTAATTATTCAACACACCAAATATCTTGTAACCAATAAGTGCATTTTTCTTACTATCTGAGAACCAAAAAAGTCCACACCTTCTTCCAGCACCAAAGTTTTTGCCCATCTTTGGCAAAAAAAAAAAAAAACTACAAATTCAAACTCTTATCCGCAATCACTCCTGCCTCCAAATGATTTTCCAATGGACAAGAATTTAATCATGAATCAAAACCATTAAGTCCTAATTCTCCAACATCACACACAAGTCATTACATATCAAATAAACTAACCGACCTAATGGCCAAAGTTAAAACCAAAAAAGCACCATCAAAACTCTCAAAGATTACAAAATAGCACCAAAAGCAGATACATTGCAATTTGCAAATATTAAGAGAGAAAAAGAAACCTGGCTTTTGTAGTAAGAGAATCGTTTGCGTAGATGTTCAACTTCCTTGGAACGGTGCTCGATGAGAGCGATGAGGTCTTCCTCTCCGTCACTCATTGCCTGCTCCTCAGTATCCCCGCTGTCGGTTTCGGCGTTTTCCGGCTCCGACTCCGACTCCGACTCCAGTCTCGGCCTCTTCTTAAACGGAGGCGCGTCCATGTTTTTTCAATGCTCTCGCTTCCCTCCTCCTCAGGTACGGTATAAATGTATAATAATTTTAACATATGCTCTATTCCAATTGGACCCTATACTATAAGTTTTAGTATAAGCAATTGGGCTTGTTATTCTATTTATATGCAATCGTTATGCTATGGACCTGTGTACACTATGTATTGTGGACACGATAACGGTATCGTTAGTGAGATCGTTACCTTCCATTTTTTGTATAAAAAATTTCAGACCGCTTCGTTATAAGAGTATATGTTCATAATTTTATCACTATATGTTCATAATTGTAAGTTCATAATGTCAGAGCTCTGTGTTCATAATTCCATAACTGTACATTCATACTTCCATAACTATACATTCATAATTCTGTAACTGTACATTCATAATTCAATAACTATATATTCATAATTTTCGAAACTCTATGTTCACAATTTTAGAGATCTATGTTCATAATTTTATCACTATATGTTCATATTGTAAGTTCATAATGTCAGAGCTCTGTGTTCATAATTCTATAACTGTACATTCATAATTCTATAACTGTACATTCATAATTCCATAACTGTACATTCATAATTCTATAACTGTACATTCATAATTCCCTAACTGTACATTCATAATTTTCGAAGCTCTATGTTCATAATTTTATCACTATATGTTCATAATTGTAAGTTCATAATGTCAGAGCTCTATGTTCATAATTCCATAACTTACATTCATAATTCCATAACTGTACATTCATAATTCCATAATCGAATGCCGCCGTTAACGGCGAGACAAAATCAATTTTTTTTTTAAAACTGGAATGTCGCATTTTCCCTGAAAACGACGTCGTTTTGGACTAGTGTCCACAATGCATTATGGACACGAGTCCATAGCATAATTTGCGATTTATATGAGCACCAATTTAGTTATATTTTTCCTTTTTTATTTTTGGAAATTGTAATTTAAAAAGAAAAAGAGAAAAGTGACAAATAAACCCTCAAACATTTGCTAAAAGGTCAACTAGTATAGTACTCGTGCGATGCACGGGATGAATATTGTTCAAGATATTGTCTAATTGTGTGAAAATTTTAAGATATTACTATATTAAAATGTTCAAATTACAAAGTCGATCTTTAAAAAAAAAATGTAAAAGCAAAATAGTAACAATAATGAAATTACTTTAACATACAATATACAAAAATAAGTGTCATAAAATTACAAATTATTGAAGATTTCGTGGTATACCACGTTGGTTGTTGATGTAGCATTTGTTCTTGAGTCGTTGACAATCAATATTTTAAGACCACTTGGGTTGTTAACTCGAGATGCAGTCACGTGCAATTGACCATGCATAAAAACTGATTTTTTAAGTAACAAACCTACATGTAGAGCCGTCAAAACGAGCTTAGCCCGCTGGGCCGGCCCGCCCCGCCCCTACTTAGGTAGGGGGCGGGTTTCGAAAATACAAGACCGTTTAGGAGCAGGCTTTTTTGACCCGCGGGGCTTAGCGGGGCAGGCCGCGGGCTGCCCGGCTTTTTTTATTTTATTATATATATATATATATATATATATATATATATATATATATATATATATATATATATATATATATATATATATTATATAATAATAGACAAAGAATAAAATAGACTTCATTTACGCGACTCACGCAGTTAATGTATGTGTGTTTAAGCAGTTAATTAGTGTATTACTATTTTTAGATTAACAATTTTTTTTAAGAGGAGGTTTGGTCGGGGGCCCGCCTAGCCCGCGGGCCACTGGCGGGGCGGTCCAGGCCAAGCAACCCCAGTCCCGCTCAGGAGCGGGCTTTTTTAGCCTGCCCCGTTTAGGCCCGCAGCCCGCCCTGCCCCGCCAACCCGTATTGACAACACTACCTACATGTGACAATGTTTGACATTGACTTTTGTTAATAGTCATTGCATATGATAACATCAACGGGAATTGTCTTTGTTGAAACTTGAATGGCAACCTAGTATCAGACGGTGACATTGACATTCTGGGTATCAAGACTTTTTCCTTTGTTAGCACCATCAATTAACTCAGCTTCAGTTACACGGTCTGCTAAGTTGGTGATTACAACCGCGTGCCATTACACAAACCAACTGAGTGATCAATATTTCTTAATAACATGACTGGTGAACCAATTTTTATAGTTAATGCATGGTTTGGAAGACCTGAAGCTCTAATGCCATTCAAAAATTCAGGTGTGTGAACATCACTAAGTATCCCAGCGTCTGCAACAGCTTTGCATATTGTGTCGCAACTAAAATATGTTCTACTTTCAGCCGTATGCAACTCACTCATATAGTCATTCACTAAGTTCACTACCTCGAGAGTAGGTGCTGGAATAGCACGCCTTTGAAGATAACTTGCAATAGAATTACCATTAGCAAATATAGGAAATGTACTTCTAACAATGGTTTCAATATGGTCACCATCAGACGATAGTAACATAGTACTAGGTATTTCTACTCCTGCATAACCATCATTAGGTCCACCAATTTTGCCATCACCAATTGAAGCTATCCAATTTGCAAAGTGTTGTGAAGATTGTTGTTCTACAGAGTCTTTTACAGCATTCAAGTGAAGGTTCTTTGTGAGCTTCATTACCTTGCAATTGTTCCACAAATAGGAAGAATTGATAGCTGCAGAAACTATATCTTGTCTAGTACCTTTGGGGACTACGGGAAGAATTTGACAGAAGTCCCCACCTAGTACTATTGTTTTACCACCAAAAGTCTTATTGGAACTGTTGGGTCTACAAATCGCAACAAATCCCTCATGGTCCGATCTAGAGCTTCAAAGCAATACTTGTGCATCATCGGGGCTTCATCCCAAATTATTAAACTTGTTTGTATCAATAAATCAGCTAACTGGCTCCCTTGTTTAATGTTACATGTCGAGTCTTCGTTTATTGCTATTGGCATTGAGAACCTTGAGTGTGCAATTCGTCCACCAGGCAACAACAACGGAGCTATACCACTTGATGCCACATATTGGCCTTTAGAGCGTAGTGTAGATGACAACACTCGCCACACGAATGTTTTTCCAGTTTCACCATACCCATATACAAAAAATAATCCACCCAGTTTACTTGAAATATCTTCTAAAACAGTGTCATAAATAGATCTTTGCTCTTCCGTCAATTTATCACACAACTCTTGAGCTTCTTGTTGTAAAAACTCACGATCATAAGATAATTCTTCAAACAGCAATCGGTTCTGAACCAATCTAGAGTTAACCATATTTGGAAAGGGCATTGGGTAGTAGTCCTTTAAAGATCTATTTTGTTGTTCCAACAATTTCTCAAACTCAATTAGTCCAAAGTTTTTCTTCTCTTCGTCAATTAAACACAAATTTGTTGTAATTTCATAAAAAAAAAGTCAAACTTGAATAATCCACATTATTTATACTAATTGGATAAGAGTATATGTATAATAGTTCAAACCTGGTTGTTGTAGTATTCTTCTTTCACAATGTTGAGCATCCTCACACAAATGTTGTCACACCTCATTCCAAACATATTCCGGTCTAATCATGGAACTCGATGTTAATAGCACTACAAACAACTTCCTCATTGAATGAGCAGTAGACCAAAAACTTGCTTCTACTATACCATCAATGTACTCTTTATCATCATCCAACAGACCGTGAGCATAACATGCATCCCTAAATGTATTATACTTAACTACATTATGTGTCCTAATATCTTTAAAACTTGAAGGACCACACACTATGTTCAATAAGCACCTTAAATAATATAATTCACCTGATGCTGGTGGAATATAGAATATGCGACCAATGGAGAAACCCTTCTTTCTTAGATGGCATTCACGAATGTCCTTTTTCCAAACAAATTTTGTAGGCATCTCAATGTAAATTAACTCTCTGGCTTCTGGATATTTTTGATTTGCTACAAACCATCCATTGAACATACTTTGTGCAACTGATTCTCTATTTAAAACACGATTAATGTTATCATCGTCTTGGAAAACAACGGATTGACAATCCGGTAGGTGAAAGCTTAGCCTCTCAACTGGTGGGGTTCTATATTCTACCTCAAAACTAAATAAGCACCACATTACTTCACAAGCTGAAATGTATCGGCAATCATAATACATGTTTATTTCATCTACAACTTCATTACCGGTTTCATCCATCGTGGTCTTATAAAACTCAGTTGTGACACGATCATTACCTTTGTTGACGTACTTGAACAAATACTAGATTGATTGTGATTGGTTGCACCATTCAACATTAATGTGAGCTTTGTACTTCAGTAGTAAATATCAATTATGAGGTACAATATACCTGTTATCCAGCTCTATACCACTCTTTTTGACCATCCTGTTGTCATTTCGCCTACGGTATAACGGGTAGCCATCTTGGTCAAACTGGGATGCATCGATGAATCTCTTAGGGAAATTTTTAGAGCACTTGTCATTTACCATACATGGTGAATTTCTTTTAGCATGACCGCACGGTCCATGAACCATGAATTCCTCAACTACTTTATAAAATGGCAAGTCGGTACGCTTATCCAGAATCTCAGTTGAAATGATCGAATCTATGAGTGTTGGGCTAGAGAAACCATCATGCTTTTCAAGGAATAACAATATGTGGGCATGTGGTAAACCCCTCTTTTGGAATTCGATTGTGTAAATAACTGCAAACGAAATGAATAGTTAAATTATTTTTTCGAAATTGTATAACTTAAAAAAAATAGAATGTTAAAGAATTTATACTAGCTTTGACGCGGCCAAATAATTTCCCTTTTTTAATCTCTTTGATCATTGCATCCAATTTCATCTTGAACACACGACAAACTATGTCTGGCCTATCTTCTACCTTCAAGTTCCTTTTCTCCAGAAATCGTTGTATCTCAGGCCATTTAGGATTGCATGTAAATGTAATGAATAGGTTTGGATAACCTATAAACTGACAAATAGCCATAGCATCTTGATAGTTTTGTATCATGCACTGCCGGTAAAACTTGATGGTAATATTATTCTTTTCCCTTGACTGCTAGGTTCAACCTCACATTGTGTCAAGGCATCTAAGAGACCTTTGTATGCCTCGCATCTCAAAGTTTTTTGATTTGCCCTTATATAACACAACCTAGAGGATTCAACCATTGTATACGAATCCACTAAGAATTGTTGAAATAACCTTCTAACATATATTAAAGTTGATATCTCATTTAATCTTTCATGAACACGGAATGCAAAATACTCCCTTTGAGAGACACTTTTTTCTAGACCAATTCTGATTACTAGGTGTTGTTGAAAATTGAATGTCCTCCCTAAATCCATCCTCACTATAAGGGAATAAAATTGGGTATTGCAATGACAAATATGCTGGATTTAATTCACTTATTCTTTTCAATCCTCCAGTCTTACACTCTACTAAAATGTCCCGTTCACCCAATGTTGGCTCTAAATCTCCTACAATCAGAGCTGCAACCTCAGATGCAGTTGGTAATGTATAAATCCGTGCATCTGTAGCCCTCCTACCTATTAGTCGCATTTTAATCTCAGATGAGGGATTACAATCAAGAAAGTTCTTAGCCATACAGAATGATTTCACAAACACATTATTGTTATCTAACACCTCTTTAATGTCATGAACAACTTCTACATGTAGATCCACTTGATCGCTATCGCCCCTACAAAAATTATGCCGTTCAACAATTAAAATTATTGTTAGAGAATATATAAATTGTTTGGATTGTGAATAAAGAACTATTATTTGTTAGAAGTGTAACGTTTATCCGTTACTATTATTATAACATTAGGATAAGTTATGATAATATTCAGTATTTGATGTGGTGCAACACTAATAACCTAATAGCTAGACTACCATTATGATTAGGAGTCTAGTTAGGGTTTAGGAGACCTAAGGACAATCAACCACAATGATGGCCAGTGGTTATATAAGGTCACTAGTCCTCTCACTGCTCACATTACATACCTCATACACCATCTAGAGAGAGCTGAGTAAAGTGAGAGACAAAATACTCGTTATCTCTGCAGCAGTCCGGATCGCTCAACCGTATCAAGAACTATGGCTGGAGGTTAGTCGATCCTATTATCACATATTATAGTGATGCATGTGATATTTTAGTCTAACAGTTGGTATCAGTCGCCATAAATAATCTCTGCTTAGTTTTTTTAATTGCTAAATATTTGCATATGTTATATACTTTGCTGTATAATTGAAATTACATATGCGAATGTTTTTTTAGTATGCAATTGTATGTCTGGGCTGCTGAAAAATTAAGTTTTTTTTTTTTTTTTTTCCGCATTAAGAAACAAAAAAAAAAAAAAAATTAAAATTGGATACTCCTAATTTGTTATGGTCTTCCCTACTGCTACGCCATTTTTTTTTCCATGAATTCCCATAGCCATTTTGAACTTGCTGGAGTTTTTGTTGATGGTGGAGACAACGCTTCATAATCAACGAACAATTTTTTTATTTATTTTTGATCGGCGTTCTCCCCTTCAGTGGCCATCAACAATGGAGTTTCGGTGAGTCGGTGACGGCACGGATCGAACGCCGACGGAGGCACGACCTTCAAAACGTCTGTTCTGCTGTTCGCCGGCGGCCTTAAGAGGCAGTAGGAAGGATCGCGGTGGCTAGTTCACACTGTGGCGGGCGGACGACGGCGGACTTCGGCGTTGCGTGGAGGCTAGGTGGCGGCTGCGACGTTGGGTTTCCGGCGACAAGGCTGGTGTCTGCCTTCCTATTGGCGACGCCGGCGTCCTTTTTGGCTGCTGTTCGTTCTCCATGGCTTTCCGTTGCTGCTCTGTCGGCTGATCTACTGCTAGGAGATTAGACGAAGAAGAAGATGAATGATGGGTCTAAATTAATTGGGCCGGGTTTGGCCCAATTGGGCCAGACCTTGGCTCATATTAAAAAAATAATTTTTTTTTAAATAGGCCTGTTATGATTTTGGGTCAGACTTGAATTGATATTTGGACTACATCAATTCATTCATATTAACATCTTCATCATATTTGGACTTCTTCTAATTAAATTATCCAATTGAATTTTTTATTTTTTTAAAGTCTATTATTAAATTATTATTCAACTTTGAATAATTATTCAGTTTTTAATTTTTCAGTTGAATTTTAATTTAATAATGTTTTCAGTTTAAATTGTATTAAGTGTTACAATTTAATTGTGGAGTATTTTGTGAGTAATATGCATAGTCTGAGCATGCTATTTATCTCTTTATTGCAATAATTATTTGACTGTTATAATTATATGCCTATAGAAAAGCATGTTCATTAAGAAAAATTTTGAGCCTTTTAGGTCTGAATTATATGCTATGCATGATTTAGATTTAGTGCCTTTTAGGTGAATTAGTGACTTTCAGGTTAGATTATGTATATTATTACTCAATCTTCAGTTATTACTCCACTCGTGTTTTATAAAGTTCCTAAAGCACATAAAGTACATAAACAATTCGTAGTTCACCCTATTCAAAGCTTTATCCATAGGTGAAACTACAACTCTTTAGATCTCTCAAACGATTTTACTTCAAAAATGAGAACACATGAATTAGGGAAGTTTCTTGGGGAGGAATACTAGTTCTATGGCCCTGGCTTCAAAGCCTTGTTGCTACTAGTCCCCTTGCGACGCTACTCTGTCTAAGGAGTTGGTTTTTAACCGAGCTTCGTCTCGACCAACTTTCCTGGGAGTATACCTAAGGATTGTCTATCATATTTTGGTTTAATCTGTTTGTTTATTAGGCTTTCTTGCTAATGTGATTATGTTCTTTGGTTAATTAAAGAGTAGCCACAACATCTTTAATTTTCCAAAATTACATATTAAGTTTTATTCACATAAAGTTAATGCAAGAATATTGTAATTCACTCTGCGTGATATGGTAAAATTTAGCCCACAGGCAATTTTTTTTATATTTGTAGGGTTAATTAGGATGAAATACCATACTATGATCATAATTTGCCCACAGGGATTATGTATCGGCATATAGTTTTGGTAGTTTTGTCATTAAGGGTGGAAAGTTTAAAATCGCGCCCATTCCGTTTCCACCATTCGGTTTTGGTAAATTCACTATGCGTAAAAATTTAGCCCACAGGCAATTTTTATGGCATCCGAATTTATCTTTCGCATAATTTTACATTGGTAATATTATGTAATTCAGTGTCTCTCTCTAATTTTTTGTGCCTCGAAAATTCTAACCAAGCATTAATTATTATTCTTTACAGCAACTCATTCTGTCACCCAAACACAAATTAATGTTCCAATCCTTAATGAAGATAACCACAAAGAGTGGAAAGATGCTATTCTCCTGCAATTAAGATTATCAGAGTTGGATTACGCTGTTCTCAATGAGGAACCCCCTGAGGTTACTGAAGAAAGCACTGGCGAGGCTAAGCAGCTTCGCGCACGATGGGAGAAATCCAATCGATTATGTGTGGTCTTCATTAAGTCACGAATTTCCAGAAAAATTCGTTTTTGCTTTGAGGACATTAGGAAAGCTAAGCCCTTGCTCAAAACTATCGATGATAACTTTGTTGTATCAAAGAAAGTTTTGGCAATGACTCTAATCGTGAAGTTGAGAAATTTGCGTCTTTTCACTGTCAAGGGAACGCGTGAACACATTATGCAACTCAGGGATATTGCGGCTCAATTAAAGGAGTTGAAAATCATTGTACCAGATGATTATTTGGTGTTTTTTGCACTTGATACCCTTCCTCAGGAGTACAATCCTTTTAAGATTTCCTACATCACACATAAAGTGGACTGGTCTATCAATGAGTTGATAACCATGTGTGCAACGGAGGAACAAAGGCTTGTGGTTAAGCTTGGGTATGTTCCATCTTCTTTTGTTTGTTTCAAATCTAATATGTCAGAAGTTAATACTAATTCTTGGTGGGTTGACTCTGGTTCAACAATCCACATTGCAAACTCTTTGCAGGATTTGACAAAATTGAGACAGCCAACGGGAACTGAGTGTAGCATCTTCTCTGGAAACAAGATTGCGTCACCAGTCGAAGCTGTCGGAGTTTGCAATTTAGTTTTGGACAATGGTTTTGTATTGACATTAGAAAAGACATTTTTATGTTCCTAGTTTTTCTAGGAACTTAGTTTCAGTATCTAGACTTATACCCTTCGGATATTCTTTTGAATT